TGCGCGGAGAGACCCTTGGTGATGGCACGACCAGTAGGGTTTTTCTTCTTGTATCCTTGTGAGAATGACACCCTTGGATCGGTCACACCTGAAATTTGCGCTCCTTGAGCGATCAAGTTCTGTTGTTGAACTGTGTTCTGATGCTGGTTTCTCAATACAGCAGCACTCTCTGCTGGGTCTGGTGGAGATCTCTCTCGACCTGTGTATTCTTAGCTGTCCGTCGCTCGGTAGGACTGGACATTCTTTCTGGAAGCTTTTCGTTTTTGGCACCTTTGAGTGCCAAAGAGTGCTGAGTTGACCTCCCTTCGGGGGGGGGAGGTGTACTTTTTCACACCCTTACCTGCAGGCTTTCGTCGTTTGCTATGGCCGCACTGATTGATCACCGCTTGGTAACATGCCACTGGACTTGTAAGTGCAACCAGTTGCGCGGGTTGTGCCACAAGAAAGGTCTTTTCCACGGCATGCAGCATAGCTCCGCCACTCCATTTTGACATGGACGCAACCTGTGTTGGAGCATTGCGACACTCCTAACCTGCATCGTGACCATGGTTTTGCCGCACTGTGGTCGCTGTCACTGGCAATCGTGAAGCAAAGTCTTTTTGAAGCCTTTTTTGAGACTTTGCCAGAGCACAGACCTGCGCCGACATGCTTTTCGTTCGTGAATTCAGGCCCATTGCTGGTCACTAGTTTTCGTTTCACCCGTTTCACCTAGCACAGAGGAAAAACTACATGATGGTGGAAACTCGGCCTGTGGGCTCTGGTTTGTTTGGTTTTGGGTTGTGTTGGGTGTCCTTGTTCTTTTCTCCACCATGCCCACACGGCGTCCGTGCTCGTGGAAAAAAAAAGCTACCACAAAAAAATCCGGGTAGCAACCTTACACGGTAGACTGCCCACCTTCTGGATCTTTGGCTCACAACAGTGAAGAAATTCAATGTCGGGATGTCCAACTCGCTCGATGCTTGCAGTTTGCGACGCATAAATTTCGTTTAAGGTTGTTTGTGAAAGATTTCGAACCTGGCGGCAGTATAACATTTTGTTTCTTAATTGTTTGAAAGCGATTTGTAGCGTAGTTGGAAGTTTTGAAAGAGTTTTTTGTGTGTGGAGATGCTTTAAGAGACTTTTAATATGTTTTCGTGTATTCTTTGTATAGCTTAGTGCTACGGGATATGTTTTGGCTGAAGGCTGAAGGCCAATTCGTTTGGCTAGTGTGAGAAAAGGGTGCGAGTGTCTGAGAGCAGCCAGTGCAGCGTTTGAAGTTTTCCGAAGTATTCGGAGGCTTGAGAGAAAGGTTTCGTACCGTACCGGACGAGTGTGAGAGTTTGTTGTGAGCTAAAGATCCAGGGGAGGTAGGTAGTCTACCGTGTAAGGTTGCTACCCGGAGTTTTTCGTGGTAGCGGAGCGTGGAGCTCCCAGGAAGAATGTCCAGTCCTACCGAG